AAAGAGCCGCCAGGTGCTAAAAAATAAACCTTAGACTCAAACGTTAGAGCAGGCTTTTCCCCGCAGCACGCCGTGTAATAAATACAAAGAAAACGGTGGCCGTTACAACTTATGTCTAAAAATGTATCGTTTCATGCATCGGTTAATTCAGCGGTCCCCAATCCCCGGGCCTTGGACCGGTACCGGTCCGTGAGTCGTTTGGTACCGGGTTGAGGCTCAGGTGTGAAATGTATGGTTTTCAGGGGTTTTATCGGTTTTCAGGGTTATTTTGTTATCGTTTTTATCGTTAACTCGGTTTTCCTGGGTCTTTTCACATGTGTTATGAATAAATCTTCTTTTTTTCGGTACTGGTACGAGTTTTATTTTTTTGTATTCATCCGCGACACCTTAAAGGCTGGTCCGTGAAAATATTGTCGGGCATAAACCCGTCCGTGGCGCAAAAGAGGTTGGGTTAAAACACTCGACTCCGGGTAAAGGACCCGCAGCTGAAAACACTTCACGCAAGTCGAGCTGCCCGAGATTCACAGAATTTACAGAAAATTTTAAATTTCTGTGATTTATGTCGTTATCCGGACGATAGAATTCTTATATCGGGATATGAGATTTTGGTCACTACATGGAACACATTATGTTATTGTACTATAAGGATCGCATTTTTATGTATATATCGGTTGTTTTCCTACCCGTCTGCCCGCCTAACATGCTGTTTGTGTGTTGTTGACCTGTGTAAAGTTCACTTTTCTACTTTCTTACGATGCTTTTGTCATTATGTTGGTGTTAAATTTCAGCGGATGATGTGGTTGAAGAGAAAGGGGTGATCCAGACCACATACAGTCACAGAGTACACGCCACACCCTCGGTCTTCCAACAGAATCACAATGATGAGCCTGTTTCCAGCAGTTACTTGGATGAGAAAGTCCCTGTCCCTGAGGAGGACGGCAAGGTAAATCAACCCTGGATTACATATGCAAACCTGTGTTAAATCAAGATTTGATGTTATTAGTGGTGCAACTTTTGTTTCCCCTGCCACAGAGGTGCATAAGTCTCCGTAAGCTCTGGGCCTTCACCGGCCCGGGGTTTCTGATGAGCATAGCCTACCTGGATCCAGGTAACATCGAGTCTGACCTGCAGTCAGGTGCCAAAGCTGGCTTCAAGGTAACTGAGATCATGCTTGGTTTGTGTTTTGGTTGATTAAGAGTTAGCTTATGTTAAAGTTAAACTGAGGTCATTTTTATTTGCAATTATGTTAATTATTTGGTAATTAACTATTTTTCAACTATACTTCACAAATTATTTTGTACAAGCAGCAGTTTAATGTCCCCAAATATCTAAGTTATAACAACACAGGACCAAGAAAGGCAACAAATTCAAAAAACGTTGATTACTTGGGTACTAAAATTAAAAAGAAATGCAGCCTTAGTTAAAAAACAAAGTTAAACATATCTAATATTTACAGTGGGAACCTTTTGTTTTAACATATCTGCTCATTTTAATTTTTTTGCCAGCAGCAAACTTCAATAAATTGGAGACAGGGGCTGCTTCACCTCTTCTTCACACTCTGTTAGTGTTATTGAAAGCATGAGTTTCTATCATTTTGAAATAAAAAATATCTTCCTGTTCTTGCTTGAGGTAAAATTTGATTTGCTCAACAGTTTCTGGCCTTGTTTATTGTTTAGTCTTTTACTGTCCTCCAAATGTTTTCAGTGGGTAACAGGTCTGAGTGAGTGCACTGCAAATACAGACTGATGGGTCGCATGGTTTGCTTTTTTAAACCTGGCTATGTCACCATGGCAACCTATGCTGAACACATCAACTGGTCCAGAGCAGGTTACGTTCGGATTTCGGTTTAAAATTGTCTGGAAGTGCCACATGTTCACTAATTCCTTTCTCTAAATATCTTTTTAATGTTTAATCTTTTGAGAAGTACCTCACAAAGTTAGCCCAGCGCCAACATGCATTAGATTAAAAAAGATTCACTGTGTTTGTAGGCTGTTTATCACCACGCTGGTTTAGTCAATGAAATTCACTCCACACTCATCCGACAACTAAACCAAAGTGATTTTCTCCATCATCGCGCTTTGGGCCAAGTCAAATTTAAAGTTTCTAACTTTGCAGCTGTCGTGTTAGAAATAAACAGCAGCACTGCAGTGAAAGCTTGAGTATTCACAATATTAGTTGCAGATTTATTTGCAGCGCCAGTAGCATGTTTAACCTCTCATATTATTTATAAATTTCTCTTCTCTTCTTCTGGTGTAGGCAGCAATGAAATAGGTAGCACTCAATGACAACATTTTGTGCAGAAGAAGACTTTAATGACGTGCCGTGTTTCCACTTTTCTGTGAGCGTGCACAGTGACGCTGTCTTTGTCTTTCCAAGCTAACACAAAGAATGACCGTCTATGGTGAACTTCCGTTCAAGAGTGTTAGCAAGCCCGTTTAGCGCTCAGACTCAGATTATGGAGCATTGCTGCTGGTAAATGTGCAGAACAGACAAAGACTTTACCTAAATCATCATGTGTTGTTTGTTCTTTTGCATTTCAGCAATATTTCTTGAAAGACAAGTCTGACTTTGAAATTCACCAGTCCCGCAGCACTGCAGGTCAAAGTTTAACAAAGGTGTCCTTTGCCCTTAAACAGGTGGAAACATTCCTGAACTTGGGAGTCGCATCATTTAAACTGAGTGAATGTTTACTGAGACTGGTGTAAGAGTGACCGGGCCCTTAGCCTTAATCCTGACCGTCAGTCCGGGGGTGTGCAGGGCTTTTCAAGGTTTTGAGCCTCAGACAATCACAGCGACAAAGCTGCAGCACAGTCACAGAAAAGCAGTGCTCAGAAGTCTCGTAGCGGCTCAGTAATGTGAGGATTAATTAATTAATTAATTAATTGGTTTTAATAAAAGGCAGTGGCAAACAAAACGTCTTCAGTCTTAGTTTACCAGAACACAGAGTTACTCCTGCTCTATGTGAGTTTGTTCCAGACATGTGGAGCAAAAAGCCTGAAAGCTGCTGCTTCTATGTTTAGTTTTATCTCTGAGGACAGAAAGCAGACCTGTACTGGGAGACCTGAGGGGTCAATACGCAGCAGATCAGACATGTAAAACATGCTGGCTTATAAACCGTTCTGTGCTTTATAAACCAGCAGCAGCAGTCTTTTCAAATAAACATTCAACACATGTGTCGAGAAGAAGTGTTAATTGATTTAATTCAGATAAAGCGATCAAAATATGTTTGTTTGACAGGAAAAAAAGAAAGAAAAACATAAACAGATTATATTCAGAGTTCTAAAATGAAATAAGAATATAGATGAAGAGTAAAGCATCATCTCCGTCATGGGGGAGGCAGAGGGAGTGCGAGACATAAGAATAAAACTGCATTTCCTTTATCGTTTTTAGGTTTTCCACCAAAGAAAGAAGTATGTCGCAACAGGGGAAGTAGAAGCAGATGGTAAAACGGGTACGGGACTCGTGAAAGTTCACGTCGGGTTAATGTGGCCGCAAAACAACAGTCTCTTTTCACAGAAAACGCGCTCACACGCTTCATAAAATGCAAAGGTTCCAGTTTTTTATATGTGTAAATATGTTTCTGTCAGAGGGCCACAACTTAAGATAAGATAAAGAAGTCAAGCTGGGCTTAGACGTACTTTATTTATCCCAAAGGTTGATAACTTGCTTTGTTACAGCAGATAAAACATTGACACAACCAGTAACAACATATAAAAATAGCTCAATAACAGACAGTAGTGCCAAAAAATAGAATTACTTTCAAGTAAAATACAGTTGACTATAATCTAAAATAAATTTATATAAGCTGCATCGCTCCAAAAATTAAGTGGGCCCTTGATCATCGGTGTAACACAAAGTCAGTTACACTTCAGGGCTATTAGTTTGTGCAGTCAGGAACATAAACCACTGAATCAGTTTATGCTTCCTAACTGAAGTTTAACCGACTTGGTGCTGAACTGTGATGATCGAGCGGGTTTTTTTGAGCAGCGTAAAATGGCTCAATAAAATATAATAAAAGTGTAAAATGGCTCAATAAAATATAAAACACACAATAAAACAAAAATAAAGCGGAAATTCTGAAAATAGGATACTAAAGGTAGTAGAAGGAAAGGTATGAGGTTTAGTTTTACAGATAGAGTTGAGTAAGTGTAATAGTTAAAAACAGAGTCTTGGGAATAAATTAATGTCAGTGCTGTCACAAAGCCAAAACAAACGTGGTTTTATGTGTGTCTGCGTGCAGGGCGTGCAGAACTTTTCAGAGCATGTTCACACCTATAGTTCGTTTACTCTGGTCTGAATCAGTCGATGAGTTTGTAAACTTGTTGCTTTTCCTTGTGGTTTAGTTCGTTTTCACACAGAGAAAAATCCAAATGAACTCCAAGCGAACCGAAATGAGTCACGAACAAACCACATAAGAATATTCGGTCAGCTTATCGGCCAGATGTGTCTGGGGCGGGAACAACAAAAGTAAATACAGGAAGCAGGTGCCGTGTTCTGGACTATCAGGGAACACGGAGAATTTATGTTTGTTTCACAGCTAGCTGCTAGCCCGTACAGATCCTTGCACGTAGGGCTGTTCGATATA